CTTGGATGACAGGTGTCATTTCTTCCGAGTGAGCCTCGAACCAGTCTGCCTGGCGATGAGTAAGGTGGTGACGTCACGTAGTAGTGAGGGCGGCGGCGGCGGGCGCCTTGAGGTACTGGGGTACTGGGGTACACGCTCGGGACAAGTGGCGGCGGCTGTGGTACCATGCAGGTACGCTTGTGGTAAAGTCACACACAGGTTACTTAGGCGGCGGCACTGCCTTAGTTCGCTCGAAGTCACTCACAACGATCTTTGTCACCAGGGGTTACCTCATACCAGTCTGTTTCGCTCTGGAGATTTGTCACTTTAGGCTTCTGAACCATATATTCACACTCGTGATTCTGGGTGAGTGTGATATATTTTCCAGACGCTGAGTTAACTTGACGGTGAGGAATAGACGGTGTTCAGTCTATTGGCCGGTAGACAGAACAGAACACGTCCACTTTGCAAGAGATCCCTCACAAGAATGATTTTTCAAGGGCTGCCGGCATCTCGTGGCACCCAGCACAAAAGAGTTACAATTTGACCAATAGCATTGCAGCAAATGGGCGGGAACCAATCATATTAGCTCGTTCGATGAGCAGTAGGAGGAGTGACGTCATGAACACGTCATAGCTGTTATTTGCCATCGCGCCGGTTGACCCCAGAGGTCAGACGCTAGCCTCCTCTCTGTCCCACGCGGGCACCAGCCATGTACTCACTGACCCTTTGGTGGCAAGTATGCTTAACTCCCTGTATCTACTTCCTGCCTGGACATACGGCGGCCTCCATATTATAAAAGTGTTCCTGGTTAAGTGGGCATTCTGGAGATACCCAACATGCCAGGTCACTATCCAGGGTTAACAGAAATAGGACCTTGTGCACAAGATCGGTGCACTGTGCACAGCAATGAGCCATTCCAGTCAGCTGTGGGAGAATCTTGAGAGACTCTCACACCCCAGCTGGGCCAGGGAGAGCTTCCTCGAGTGCACGTGCAAAATCTTCCACCTTGTCCTGATTGCGGGTCTTGGTGGTGTCGATGCGAGGTCTGCCCGCCTTTTTCAAGTGGTGAATCTTTTTTGTTTGCATCTTGACCCTGCAACATACCAAGGAGTGGTTGGTGTCACAGACAGCACTCTGGTAGCTACGCGTAATCTTGACGCTGGGTAGACTTGCACGTCTGGTAAGAATCAGGTCAAGCTGGTGCCAGTGCTTGGATCTGGGGTGTCTCCAAGAGACTTAGTGTTGAGGCTTTGTGCCGAAGAAAGTGTTGGTGACAGAGATCATGATGGCAGCAAAGTTCTAGCAGACGTTGCCCATTCTCATTCATCCTTCCTATGCCGAACTGACCCAGACAAGTGGGCCAAAAGTTGTGTTCGGCACCCACTCTGGCATTGAACCAAGTCGCCGAGGATGAACAGTGGCTCCTTTACACGGATTCTCACTATGGCTCTGTTGAGGTCATCATAGAATTGTCCCTTCGCCTCTGCTAGAGAAGTCAGGGTTAGTGCATTTGCACTAATTACATTGACTGGTCCTGTTTGGGAGTGCAGTTGCAGAGACAAAATTCATTCGGTTTCCCTGTCAGTGGTATAATGTGTCCCAATAGTGCATACCTGATGGCAAATCCCACACCGTGTTCTCTAGTCTCATCTGGAGGTTTTCCCTGCCAGAAGAAAGAGAAGGCCCTCTCTCTCTTTCACAGATCCTGATCCAGGAAGCCTGGTCTCTTTAAGAGCAACGATATCCATCTGCAGTTTGCTGTTTTTCGGGTGTCGTTGATTTCTTGCAGGTCGTCAGAGAAACCTGGTGTCAGTGTCCTGACGTTCCATGTGCCCAGCTTTAGGGCAGTTGATTTTTTTTTTAGGATTATTTGGTATTGCTTGATGCAAAGTTGTCGGGCCGCTTGTCAGTTTTCACCCTAAACCCCACGCACCCAGTAAAGTTAACAGACCGTGGCGAGGCAACAGTTTATTGGCTGGGGTTTACCCAGCTTGAGGCGGGCGGTAGCTGCCCAGTGAGGCGCGATGACCCCTCCCACCGTCGGAAGCAACCCCTGACGTCACACTCTTCGCCAATCGAGCAGAAGACTTAAAACCGGTAGACTGTCGCTTCCCGTGTTGGTTCGACGCTGTGAGGCAAGGCTGGAGTGTCCTCTCCAGGGCGCAAAGACTGGGTAGGTCAATATGGATGAGAAGCAGTTACCCATGCAGCAGGTGCCCTCCTCTCTACATTGCTGAAATTACCCTATGGAAAGGTAAAAGCCAATACACATGGTTTCAGCACCATCGCAGGAGCTGCCAGAACTAGGTCGAAGCCAACAACGAACTGCCTTAGGGTCTCCAACTCCGGATTTTTTTCTTGAGGTTGACTCCTGAAGCCTTTCCCAAAAGAGGGGTATGGCCGCAGGGCAGCGGAGGTTTAGAATCAGGGTTTTCCTTTCCCTAGATGAGCTGCCTTCCGAGGCTATCGAGTCCCATCTACACGGAGCAGCTGGTTTTAAGGCACCAGAGGCACGCCCTCGCACCTTCTCCTGTCAGTAAAAGCAGTTCCGCCGGACTTAAAGACGAAGCCACCTGTGCAGGCCAGGAGTTGGACTTGGTTGTCAGAAGCTATTTGAGACGCACGCCATACAGGAGCTTTTTAAGGTCATGGGGAGCTCGTCCCTCATTACCACCCCCTGGCTATGACAACCCTTGGAATTATAATCCAAGGATATAACCAAATAATTTGGTTACATCGTAATTAAACGGTTCACGTAAAACAATACATTATTGGGCTATTCTACTTCTAATTGGCGTTAGTTCAATTTATGAAACGGACTCAAGTGTTTTTGTTGAATGTGGCCTCGGTACCCCACTTCCTCAGTCACGTGTACTTAGTCCCAGACTGGGTGATAATGGCAGCCTTGTGGTCGAGTAGTATAAGAGTCTAGATATCACTTCATGTGGCGTAGTGGTAAAACACTCGCCTGACATTTCGCGAGTGCTTTGGCCTGGGTTCGTATCCTGGCCTGGGAAAGGATTTACTGGACATCAATCCTTAACTATAGACTCTGTTTACCCAACAATAAAATGGGGAACCTGGTTGTTAAACGATTTGGTGGCTCGTATTTGGGGAAAAATTAGGATTAAGGACTTGCCCGAAACGCTACGCGTACGAGTGGCTGTACAAGAATGTAACAACTCTTGTATATATAAATAAATAAATAAAAAATAAAATAAATGTAGTCACAATTTACCTGTCGTAGCTCAGTCGATTAAGGCAGTGTCTGGGTTGGTCCCGGACACAGGTTCGAATCCTCGTCACGGCCCTTGTGGATTTGTTCATTTATCCTAAAATATGCTGATAACAATTATATCACAGGAGTGTGACTCATGAACAATCAGTTGTTAACATGGGTTGATTCTTACCCTTTCGGGTGTGTGTGTGTGTGTTCCCATGCAACTTAACCGGATAACCAATCTGTGAGCAATATGGTCATACAACAAACCAAATTTAAAGGTTAACCGGGTGATTTGCACCTCACTCTTGTGTCGCAAAGTCGTGGCAGTAAATATACAGCAACTCTTTCTTGTATTGGTAAGGTTCACACTGTGTTCTTGTCTCACGGGAAGTTATTTTCTTGTGGTGATCCAAGTCTCTGTGTACCAGCCATCAGAGCAACAATGGCGGTCCCGACCCTCATCCAGCCGTCCTCCCATTATGCGTTTTCTATTAAGAATCGCAAGGAGGAGTTTGTTTTAATTTATTTTATAACTTACTATGCAATTAATTTAGGGAACTATTTTTAATCTATTTTCACCCCTAAGACTGATGATTTTAGTGTAAAATTAGTTAGATATGTTTTGGTGTGAGATGTTGACTACGCGGTAATCATTAATCCTGTTTTGTGGAACAAAACTGACAAATACTCGAGCTCTGTTATGACTAACTAATTTAAATTTGTTTAATATTTAGTAACAAAGTTTATGGTAAATTCCTTGGTGTCCTCATCGATAACATGCTGAATTTCCAGGAACACATTCTAAAAATAGCCAAAAAAGTTCCTAAGACTGTTGGCATTCTTTCTAAGATCAGATATTATGTACCCCGCCCTGCCCTGGTGACTCTCTATTACTCCCTCATCTATCCATATCTCAACTATGGTATTTGTGCTTGGGGTTCTACTACCCAAAATCATTTACGTCTTCTAATTACTCAACACAAAGCTGCTATTAGGACAATATCCAACTCTGGCCCCAGACATCACTCGGTACCCCTACTCAAATCTCTGAATATGTTAGACATTAAGTCACTGCACATTCTCTCACGTGTACTCTATATATTAAAACTCTAAACTATAATGTCAATCCTGATCTTTAAAGCTCCTAGAAGGTTGTAATAGAACCCATGAGCACCACACCAGAAACAAATACCTATTTAATATCCCAAGAGTACGACATAATCAAACTAGAAATGCTCTACAAATCAAGGGACCCAGAATGTGGAATGACCTTCCCAACCATGTTAAAGACTGTACCTCTCTCAACCAGTTTAAGATAAAAACTAAACACTACCTAATAAACTCCATTTAGCCTACCTTACTTCTAAATGTCAACTCATGTTTTACTATTTTAAACAATGCTGTTTGTTGACAAACTTATATAATTGCTGATTTCTGTCATGTTCTCGCCTTTTTTCTTTTTTCAACTCGATTTATACATTAAGCTCAATTACTTTTAAGTTTTAGTCTAAGTGTTTTTCCCCTCACCTTGCCTGAAGCGCTATGCGTATTAGAGCTTAAGGTATTGTATGTACTAGCTCTATTTTTAAATCCAACATTATGTTTGTAACTCATCTTCAATGTATGTATTTTTACCTGAATAAAAAATCTAATCTAATCTAATTTAGTTAACACACTTCAGCAAGGATTTTATTTGCATATTGAATTAAAATGGATAGATAGTGTGGGCAATTTCCAACAATAATCTTTCTATATCTGATAAGACCTTCAAGTCAAGAACGATGTGTTCCCACAGGCGTGAGAGCCCCGAAGTCACTTGGCTCCACCCAGGCGACTACAGGGTGGCGCCCATGATAGAACACCACAAGAGGGGAGACTTGATCATTGGCCTCACCCTTGTCTTCAACTCTGACAAGCCATTGGACCGTGAACTGGTTTATGAAGCTCTTACACACTTGTACAAGTAAGCTCTCGATATATATATATATATATATATATATATATATATATATATATATATATATATATATATATATATATATATATATATATATATATATATATATTTTGTGACGGTAAAGCGTTGGTGTTCGGCTGTTTCAAAAGCTAGGGGCAGGGCCTCGTCACATAAAGAAAAAAAAAGAGAAAAGCTGGAACTTTCGTCTGTGGTAAGGTAATGGGAAGACACACAAAACACAAGTAAATTTAACAATGCAATTTTAATTACGTTAGAAAAACAAGACATGAATAAAATTGAGTATAAAATATAACAGACAAGTCAACAAACAAAAAAATAAGAATAATCACTGGCAAATGAAAAGTTACGTTAAGACAAGTGAGTAATAGCAAAGTAAATAAGAATGATGATGCCGGAATATTGGCTTCGAGCTGCCAACTCCCTTAGTACACGTAAGCCAAGGCTTAGTCTACCAATGAGAGGTGTCACCTGCAAGGAGCACTGGAATATTCTGCCTTCTCTGGGTCGCTGCAGCCCAGACATCAACTTGTGGCGGAGGGTGGTGGGGCAGGTGCGACTGGACACCAGCCAATCAGCGACAGGCAGGCGATGGACAAGCAGTTTGCCGGTTAATGGTGGCGGAGGCGAGCAGGTGCGCCGGTGGGCTGGATACGTTTTGCTCTCTGGGCAAAACGTTTTGGAGATTCTTGCTGGATATATCTTCTATATTATCTGTTGATGTGACGTACTTTGGAGGGAAGAGCAGGCTCAATCTCTCTTGAAAGAGATTATCGTCACAATATATATATATATATATATATATATATATATATATATATATATATATATATATATATATATATATATATATATATATATATATATATATATATATAAAACCCCTTTTAGGTTTAAAAAAAATTGCGAACCATAGACCCCCAGGAGCTGAAAACTTACTGGCGAGTCCAATACTCTGACCACCTGACCACACTGACTGTACAAAAGAAATTGGTAGCCGAGGCTATATCCCCATTGAACTTACAGCCTTTGCTGGTCACAGATCACAGTTCAACTTCATCAAACCAGTTCACTTATCTAAGGAAAAGACGAGCTTCCTATGTACGATATACTTGCATAAACTGCAAGGCAATTAATTGTATTTGGAAAACTCTTCCTCGTGAAGTCTCCAAGCCAACATGCAACCGAAAATAATGGTCCAATAAATGGTTACTAAAGTTCATCCCGAGTAAATGTAAGGTAATAAAACTAGGCAGTGGAAACAGGAGGCCAGACACAGGATTCAGAATGGGAGATATAGTCCTTCATGAAACGGACAGAGAGCAGGATCTAGGAGTTAATTAATATCACACAAACCCTGTCTCCTGAAACCCACCTCAAAAGAATAACATCTGTGGCGTATGCGAGGCTGGCTAACATCAGAACTGCCTTCAAGAACCTTTGTAAGGAATCATTCAGAACCTTGTCTACCACATATGTAAGACCAATCCTGGAGTATGCGGCCCCAGCATGGAGCCCGTACCTTGTCAAGCACAAGACGAAGCTTGAAAAAGTTCAGAGATATGCCACTAGGCTAGTCCCAGAACTAAGAGGCATGAGTTACGAAAAAAGGCTGCGATAAATGCACCTCACAACACTAGAAGACAGAAAGATAAGGGGAGACATGATCACTACCTACAAAATTCTCAGGAATTGACAGGGTAGATAAAGATAAAATGTTTAATACGGGTGGTATGCGAACAAGGGGACACAGGTGGACACAGGGGGAAACTGAGTACCCAAATGAGCCACAGGGACGTTAGAAAGAACTTTTTCAGTGTCAGAGTAGCTAACAGATGGAATGCATTAGGCAGTGATGTGGTGGAGGCTGACTCCATACACAGTTTCAAGTGTAGATATGATAGAGCCCAGTAGGCTCAGGAACCTGTACACCAGTTAATTGACAGTTGAGAGGCGGGACCAAAGAGCCAGAGCTAAACCCCCACAAGCACAATTAGGTGAGTACATTACCGTGACCACCGCACCATTGTGAGAGAATTGAACTGAAAATAATTAGTATTCTCTTGTGTGTTACAGCAAGACGAAGGCGCTGAGGACCTGCTTCCGTGAACGAGACAATCAGTGGTGGTATTGTCACATGCCAAAACCTGTTATAGACTTTAAGGTGATTATTGCTCATGTTTATAAACTGTTACCACCATGTCAGATATGGGAAAGTACATCTAAATCAACTTATATTATTTTATAGCTTCAGGTTCTCATATGAACGATAATGTACTCATGTCATGAGAGGGAACTGTAAGGTACTTGACTGTAGATGACTGTCAAGATCTGTTCATTGTTTCTGTACTTTTACTATCATGTTTTTATTTATTTATATATATATACAAGAGTTGTTACATTCTTGTACAGCCACTAGTACGCGTAGCGTTTCGGACAAGTCCTTAATCCTATGGTCCCTGGAATACGACCCCACGAAGAATCGTTCTTACAACCAAGTACACAGGCAACAGTTAAGGATTTGCGCCCAGTAAATCCTCCCCGGCCAGGATACGAATCCAGGACAAAGCGCTCGCGGAACGCCAGGCGAGTATCTTACCACTACACCACGGAGACTGGTATAAGAACAAGAACATCCTACTAAGAACATAGAACATCCACTAAGACTAAGCTAAGGAAACTAAGAACATCCAACGAATATCACACAGCAGGATGACTCAGAAACACACATAACCTCGATGACCAAACCACACACCAATGGTCCAGGGCGACTAGATAATGGTCCAGGGCGACTAAATAATGGTCCAGGGCGACTAGATAATGGTCCAGGGCGACTAAATAATGGTCCAGGGCGACTAGATAATGGTCCAGGGCGACTAGATAATGGTCCAGGGCGACTAGATAATGGTCCAGGGCGACTAGATAATGGTCCAGGGCGACTAAATAATGGTCCAGGGCGACTAAATAATGGTCCAGGGCGACTAAATAATGGTCCAGGGCGACTAGATAATGGTCCAGGGCGACTAAATAATGGTCCAGGGCGACTAGATAATGGTCCAGGGCGACTAGATAATGGTCCAGGGCGACTAAATAATGGTCCAGGGCGACTAGATAATGGTCCAGGGCGACTAGATAATGGTCCAGGGCGACTAGATAATGGTCCAGGGCGACTAGATAATGGTCCAGGGCGACTAGATAATGGTCCAGGGCGACTAGATAATGGTCCAGGGCGACTTGATAATGGTCCAGGGCGACTAGATAATGGTCCAGGGCGACTTGATAATGGTCCAGGGCGACTAGATAATGGTCCAGGGCGACTAGATAATGGTCCAGGGCGACTAGATAATGGTCCAGGGCGACTAGATAATGGTCCAGGGCGACTAGATAATGGTCCAGGGCGACTTGATAATGGTCCAGGGCGACTAGATAATGGTCCAGGGCGACTAGATAATGGCCCAGGGCGACTTGATAATGGTCCAGGGCGACTAGATAATGGTCCAGGGCGACTAGATAATGGTCCAGGGCGACTTGATAATGGTCCAGGGCGACTAGATAATGGTCCAGGGCGACTTAATAATGGTCCAGGGCGACTTGATAATGGTCCAGGGCGACTAGATAATGGCCCAGGGCGACTAGATAATGGTCCAGGGCGACTTGATAATGGTCCAGGGCGACTAAATAATGGTCCAGGGCGACTTGATAATGGTCTAGGGCGACTAAATAATGGTCCAGGGCGACTAAATAATGGTCCAGGGCGACTAGATAATGGTCCAGGGCGACTAAATAATGGTCCAGGGCGACTAGATAATGGTCCAGGGCGACTAAATAATGGTCCAGGGCGACTAGATAATGGTCCAGGGCGACTAAATAATGGTCCAGGGCGACTTGATAATGGTCCAGGGCGACTAGATAATGGCCCAGGGCGACTAGATAATGGTCCAGGGCGACTATAATGGTCCAGGGCGACTAAATAATGGTCCAGGGCGACTTGATAATGGTCCAGGGCGACTAGATAATGGTCCAGGGCGACTAGATAATGGTCCAGGGTGACTTGATAATGGTCCAGGGCGACTAGATAATTGTCCAGGGCGACTTGATAATGGTCCAGGGCGACTAGATAATGGTCCAGGGCGACTAGATAATGGTCCAGGGCGACTTGATAATGGTCCAGGGCGACTAGATAATGGTCCAGGGCGACTAGATAATGGTCCAGGGCGACTTGATAATGGTCCAGGGCGACTAGATAATGGTCCAGGGCGACTAGATAATGGTCCAGGGCGACTAGATAATGGTCCAGGGCGACTAGATAATGGTCCAGGGCGACTAGATAATGGTCCAGGGCGACTTGATAATGGTCCCTGGATCAATTACAACTGTTCCCAGATGTAATTCATACACATTAACGACTTGGTCTCAGCAATTCCCTCCAATATACTGTGGTGGTTGTTTACAGATGCGTCCCCACCTCTCCACACCACCACAGCCTTGCTTCCTTTACCAATCACAGGTGCTTAGAACAACTACAGCTGAACCCTGATATTACATCAGTCTAGAGACATCAGCACCAATACAGCAGTAGAGTACTTACATTAATCTGTTCTTCCTTCATGTACACAACCAACCACTCATACTGTTTCTGGCAGATGATGGAAGATTCACTCAAACTTCCTCCACGTGGCTATGGCAGAGCACGGAGTGTGACCCAATGTTTCTACGGGGTGATGGACAGGTGAACGACGGATTCTCACGTTTCCGAGCGCTCGGCACGTACACGGACACAACGAGCGATGATGCTCGTACTAGTGTGTGGTGTCGTGAGACAAATGGCCACACGGTGAGGGGGAACATTGTCCACCTTAGTGGTGGGGAGCCGGTCGGCCGAGCGGACAGCACGCTGGACTTGTGATTCTGTGGTCCTGGGTTCGATCCCAGGCGCCGGCGAGAAACAATAGGCAGAGTTTCTTTCACCCTATGCCCCTGTTACCTAGCAGTAAAATAGGTACCTGAGTGTTAGTCAGCTGTCACGGGCTGCTTCCTGGGGGGTGGAGGCCTGGTCGAGGACCGGGCCGCAGGGACACTAAAAAGCCCCGAAATCATCTCAAGATAACTTCTCAAGATAAGATAGTGGTCCGTAATTCTACGAATTATCACAGGAGGTCCAGGATCCAGGATCCAGGATCACCACAGCCGGGCTGTGGTGGGTATGTGAGCCTGCGGGCCGCTCCAAGCAACAGCCTGGTGGACCAAACTCTCACAAGTCGAGCCTGGCCTCGGGCCGGGCTTGGGCAGTAGAAGAACTCCCAGAACCCCATCAACCAGGTATCAACCAGGAGGGTTTCACAAAACAATGAGAAACCTTCCTTATATCTTCCTCTGTTAGGTATCTCAGTCATAAGAACGGATGACTATGGATGCCGACAATCAACACGGATCACTCCCAATACAATCCTGTTGCTCCTGCGGTGATTATGTAGCGAGACTCTCTTTACTTATCTCAAAATCCAAAATTAATCTTTCACATTTCCGCAAATTGGATTCTGACGGCCATTCACGATAGCAGGAATCAGAACGGATTGATGTTAACGCCGTGAGGACGGAGATTGTGGGTAAATGGTCGTTAAGCACAATTCTCCACGTCCTGTCAAGACAATAGCGGCGCCCAGAATGCTGGGCTGGTGTGAGGCGGGATGGGAGTTCTCTGCTTGTCCCCTCTAGTTTTGGATTAGCCAATCACAGAAGAATGTGGCAAATAGCCTATGGTGCCTCTACCACTTACAGGGTTCCCTCTAGTCACATGATGCCTGGTGCCTTCACAGCATCTTGTTGTTGTTACAGATTCAGCTACTCGGAACAAGTTCACGGGCCATGGTGAGCCCGTAACTTACCTGGCACAGGAGCGGGGCAAGTAGCACGGGCTATGGTGAGCCCGTGTGCTTCACAACACTACCAGCCGATGCTGGTCCCAGTGAGGGCCGTTGGTCCCCTCCTTCCCCCCGTGACCGCAACTTCCCTCCCCTCCTGCACCTACACATTTTCATTACGGGCTTACGGGCTATTCATGCCCGTGCCACCTCTTGGGTGGCTTAATCTTTATCAATCAATCTGCCTGTAATCCAGGCAGATTGGGAGACGCGGGAGACATCTCCCGTCACGCAGGGTGCAGTCGCACCTCCACAGATCTCCAGTATCATCTCTTGATACTGGTAATGGCTCAAAAGGGCCACCACTTACGGGCTATTCGTGCCCGTGCCACCTTTTGGGTGGCTTAATCTTCATCAATCAACCTGTAATGTAAAAAAAAAAAGGACACCACTCCTGTGCCAGGTAAGTTACGGGCTCACCATAGCCCGTGCTACTTGGAACTTGCTCCGAGTAGCTGAATCTATAACAACAACAAAAACTGTAATGTAAAGTCGCCACAGAGCCAAAGTAGCGGAAGGAAGATCCACTGCGATATGGTAAGAACAAGTCACTGGTTACTACTCTTTCAAGCCTGGCAAAAAGATATCCAGAGACATTGCAGTAGCCATACACAGACTCAGACTTGGTTACAAGTGCTTCTGGGAGGTAATGAACTCAATAGTTAAAGAGTGTCATATCTGTGGAACAGAAGCAGAGGCGCCACTATTGCACTACTTACTGGAATGTGAAGCTACTGAAGCCCTGCGCATCAAACTCAACATTAATCCAACGACAGCAGCTGCATTAGATGCACATTCCACCGCGACTACAATGATTAGAAAAGCTGTTGAGGAATGGGACTCATTAGTGAGCATTCTGCATCTACATCCGCCACCAAGATAATGTTAATAAAACAAGACTAAAACCAGTGCACTAAAACAGAAGCGATAAATAAACAGGGAAAAAGAAGGAATCCCCTCCTCTATTTTAAACTTAGACCCAAATATCACAGTAACAAGGTTATCGCGAATAACCGAACTCAATTACGGGCTCACCATAGCCCGTGCTACATGGACACTTCGTTCAGAGTAGCTAAATCTGAAACAACAACATATCTCTACTCACAAATGAGCTACGACGGCCATCGTAATCTCACTGGACAGGTCTGGATCTATGCTTCACATAGATACCAAACAAACTTCTCATCTAAACAAGAGATGTTTAGTGGGAGAATTACGGAATCTAGAAAGAGTGCACTATAGTGCACAGTAATGATGTGCACTCCAACACAGTCTAGAAGCTAGCTGGTAAATCCTCCCTCTCACACTTTTCCTACATTAATTGATCTGGACTTTTGAATTAGTAGATTTTTGCTTCTAGATTAACTGATTATGAGACTTCTATTACTTGTCTCAGGCTTATTCGTTCATTTATTAAAAACTTTTGTATCGCCGATATAAAGCTTTTGACATTGTTGTCCCAACAAGTGTTAACTTGACAATTACATTAATTATGTTACATTAATATTGGAATGATTATCATGATTGTTTCTTCCTTTAGGTTTTGGAAGCTGGAATAGATCCTTATAAGACAACAGAAGAACTTGTGAAGACTCCCTTCAACTTGGCTGATGGACCTCTGTGGAAAGTCCGGCTTGTCCCAAGTCCAATAGAGGCCTCCTGTCATTGGCCGGAGGTGAAGGAGAAGTTTCCTTATCACAATTCACTGGTGTTCAGTTTACATCATGCAGCGTTTGACGGTTTTGATGTGGCAGTGATTGTTAGATTGTTGCATCAACTTCTTGATGATGCTTTGAGCGGAAAGCCAATTGATGATAAGGAGATTGGTCACCTTTTAGACCACAGTCAGACATATGAAACTACACAACGAGTAAAAGAGAATCTTGAAAATAATCCACAGAAGTTAAATTCCTTACTTAATGACAGGAAGAGTAAAGAGTTCAAACCTCTCATTATGCAGGCGTTTGGAGCTCCGGAGCCGTCTTCCGCAAGAACAGAATACCTCAAAGTTGCAATACTAAACCTTTCCCTGCTTCAAAAGTTCCATAAGAAGTGTCACTCTGAAGGAATCAGCCTCAACTCTGGGCTTGTGAGTGTAGTAAACACGGCCTTGGTAGAACTGGTGAGGGAGGGCGGGCTGGTGCAGGACGAGTATACAGTCACCAGTCTTCACCCTACTGACCTCCGCCGCTACATGACAACTGACGTCAAAACTCTCCCCATGGGCTTCCATGTGGCCCCAATGTCTCAGACTATGCCAACCCCATACAATGTAAGAGATCATTTCTGGAAGTACGCAAAACAGTTTGATAATAAATTCAAGAAAAATCTAGAGAATAAATTTGTATTTGAAGAAATGATGTTGAACAGAATGATAAATCAAGATAACACATCCCATGACAAGTTCTCTACAAATTCACACCCTATAAAATATGACTATATGTTTTCAAATATATATTCGCCTCAATATCCAATTTTGGGAGTAGGTAAAAATGTTCAACTTACCGAAATGAGAAATATTATTCCCATTGACACTGCGCATGTGGGTCACTTATGTGGAGTGGCCAGTATTCGGGACAAGGTTCGATACGAGCACTATTATTCAACACGCGCCATGACCAGAGAAATAGCACAAAGGAAATTTGAAAATGTTGTATCAATTTTTAGTGAAATGGCTCAGTAATATCTTCACTTCAAAGTTAGATGAAAGGTAACTGTGTTTACCGAACTGATAAATTGCTTACAACCCTTCAAGAACATCGAATGATTCAAGGAACGAACAGAGGTGAAGTAATTACCTAGAGAATGCATCCAGCCATCTACATAGCACCATAAGCGTTGCTGAAGGTTCTGGACGCTGGACGCACTGAGTACCTCTAATTGAGAAAAAAACACTAAGGCAAGTGCTGTCAAAGGTATATCAAATTTATTGATTCATGAATTCGTAATATCTCCTGGAAATATCCTCTTTTGGAGACGAATTCTTCGAATTCATCTCCAGGATCAAAGCATCAGCTCCTGAAGATGTAAACAAAGTGGTGAGAACCGTGACATCAGATATTAGAGTTCATGGACATTGTCATAAAAACTACGCATATTCCATTGAAAAATAAACAGTCACAACCAAATAAAACGATAAAAAGAAGAGGAAAACTAGGTTGAAGAATAGTGAATTAAGAAGGATTAAGATGAGGTTCAGTGACATCCGCGTTGAGAGGCGTAAGTAAATCTAGCAAAGACGGTATAAGTGGAGAAGGCGGTGGAAAAAAGGCCACAACAGGCTCACCATATCCCGTGCTACATGCCCCGCTCCTGTGCCAGGTAAGTTACTGGCTCACCATAGCCCGTGCTACATGCCCCGCTCCTGTGCCAGGTAAGTTACTGGCTCACCATAGCCCGTGCTACTTGGAACTTGTTCCGAGTAGCTGAATCTATAACAACAACAACAACAGAGAAGAAGGTGCCTTCTCCCACCGACCAGTGTGGGAGAAGGCACCTGGGAGGAGCGATCAAAGTCAGCAGCAAGCTGTGGATCAAAGACTTCACCTGGAGTTTTCAAAGCGTTGTCGGCTGACTTCCTCTCCGAGACGAGAGGAGGTACGGGGACAGTTGGGGATTGAACTGAAGCTTTCTTACCTGCTGGGAAGGAAGAAATGGAAGAACTAGGTTTGCGTTTATAGCTACAAGACACGAACAAGCCAGTAGCAACGTACTATACAACAGCCTCTGGTCTCCAGTAGTGACGGAGAACAAGAGCGGACACAAGGACGTCTGGGAGAACGTTGGATATTGGCCTGGACGGACAATTGTCCAGGAAAGCCAAAGGATATAGTAGTAGGCTGATAAGAATAATGAGGACTAAACATGAAAGGGGTTACAGTGGATCGAGAAAATGTTGGAGTTGGGATAGTTACACTTAGATGAAGGGCCGCAGAATACGGGAGAAGAAGGGTGGATATACCGGTCGATGAACCACAAGGAACACCCTCAGTTTGAGAGCGCAGAACACCCTCAGTTTGAGAGCGCAGAACACCCTCAGTTTGAGAGCGCAGAACACCCTCAGTTTGAGAGCGCAGAACACCCTCAGTTTGAGAGCGCAGAACACCCTCAGTTTGAGAGCGCAGAACACCCTCAGTTTGAGAGCGCAGAACACCCTCAGTTTGAGAGCGCAGAACACCCTCAGTTTGAGAGCGCAGAACACCCTCAGTTTGAGAGCGCAGAACACCCTCAGTTTGAGAGCGCAGAACACCCTCAGTTTGAGAGCGCAGAACACCCTCAGTTTGAGAGCGCAGAACACCCTCAGTTTGAGAGCGCAGAACACCCTCAGTTTGAGAGCGCAGAACACCCTCAGTTTGAGAGAGCAGAACACCCTCAGTTTGAGAGCGCAGAACACCCTCAGTTTGAGAGCGCAGAACACCCTCAGTTTGAGAGCGCAGAACACCCTCAGTTTGAGAGTGCAGAACACCCTCAGTTTGAGAGTGCAGAACACCCTCAGTTTGAGAGCGCAGAACACCCTCAGTTTGAGAGCGCAGAACACCCTCAGTTTGAGAGCGCAGAACACCCTCAGTTTGAGAGCGCAGAACACCCTCAGTTTGAGAGCGCAGAACACCCTCAGTTTGAGAGCGCAGAGGAACATAAGACAGGCAGCTGGTGGAGGTGTCACGGTCTATGTCCTGGAAATGATTGAGGGACTGATAATGGGATTAGGGTTTCACTATAGCCTGTGCTACATGGACATTTCGTTCTGAATAAATGATCTAAAACAACAACTGATAATGGGAAGATGGTTGGGGAAGAGAGATGATATATAACTCACCAGCATACATCATGTCAGAGCAAGGGGGGTAACGTCTTGCCTCTGGGAAAGATATACGTTTATGATCTTCTAAGTCGAAGACAGCTCGTTGAAATTAATAGTGTGTGCACGTCCCGGGGTTGATCCCGGGCGCCGGCGAGAAACAATGGGCAGAGTTTCTTTCACCCTATGCCCCTGTTACCTAGCAGTAAAATAGGTACCTGGGTGTTAGTCAGCTGTCACGGGCTGTTTCCTGGGGGTGGAGGCCTGGTCGAGGACCGGGCCGCGGGGACACTAAAGCCCCAAAATCATCTCAGGATAAGATAGACTGGGCCTCACGGCAGTTAACGCAGCATGCTTGGGGAGAAGAGACCCTGGTCTTAGAATGAGACCAACAATATGTCAAGTAATTAGAACAGATGAACAAGGTGTCGCAGTAGCACGGACAATTTGAAATGGTTTAGATATAAGAAATAAAAGTTACCTGACAAACCATGTACTTGGGAATGTGTTGATGATCGTACAACTGCAAGTAATAAGTGCCGTCCCAACAAGTGCGAACTTCACACTTCACCCATTAAATGGTGACTACCAACAGACTGTATAGCCTATTGTAATGACAGATTGAATAGCCTATTGTAACGACAGACTGTATAGCCTATTGTAACGACAGACTGTATAGCCTATTGTAACGACAGACTGAATAGCCTAATGTGCAAGTGGACATAAGCTTACTATAGCTTTACATTTTGGGGAACAATTTGATGTTTTCTTCTAAGGAATGAGAACTGACGGAGCATAATGTTGACACATACCATTATGCTGACATATTATATAGCAATAAGAAGCTTTACTGGGGACGAAAGATTTTCCCAATGACGCTGTTTTCATTATGTTCTTTGACTTTTTACATTATTATGCATTTAACAATTAGTCATGCTTCTTTCTGGGGTCATGAATTTTTGTTTTATAACATATATTATAATTGACAGCTACATAAAATAATATAAACAAGTTGAACATTTATAATTATGTCAAATTTAAGTCTCCCTTCAAGTTATTCTCATACACAAACAAAGCCTTATTTTTAAAATATCGTATTAATGCTTTGAATCATCCATTAAATAAATTCCTACAATCTTACCCGAAAATTATGCAATAATGAAATCTTGTATTATGATTTGTGGCTCACTCCGGGTCATTCTATCTCTCCCACAGTGCCATTGTAAGAATTTTGGTCTGTAATAAATATTGACAATGCTGTTCACCTTTATATTGACAAAGGCATTTCACCTTTATAAACGCGCGTTAATGACACTAGGTAAACAAAAAGACACCTCTAACACTGTTTATGTAGCATAGACGTAAATCTGTTTATTAATGTATTCATGTCTGTAGGTTAGATTAGCATTTTAACAGCACTACAATCACCTTTTGTTGTTGATTGTTCAATAAATCACTGAACTATATGTTTAACAGATCTCTAACCCTGTCCATGGAGGACAGAAGAAAATGTATATATGCTGGTTAGCTTTGTACATGTGTGGCCACATCTGTGGTAGTTAATAATAATAATAATAACAAAGGTCCACTTAAAGGACCTCAGTCACTCCCAGGGGACGTCTCCGACACTCAGCCTTGCAACCAGGTTACAAGGCTGTAACCTTGTACCTCCGAGGCTACAAGGCTGTAACCTTGTACCCCCGAGGCTACAAGGCTGTAACCTTGTACCCCCGAGGTTACAAGGCTGTAACCTTGTACCTCCGAGGCTACAAGGCTGTAACCTTGTACCTCCGAGGCTACAAGGCTGTAACCTTGTACCCCCGAGGCTACAAGGCTGTAACCTTGTACCCCCGAGGTTACAAGGCTGTAACCTTGTACCCCCGAGGTTACAAGGCTGTAACCTTGTACCCCCGAGGTTACAAGGCTGTAACCTTGTACCCCCGAGGTTACAAGGCTGTAACCTTGTACCCCCGAGGTTACAAGGCTGTAACCTTGTACCCCCGAGGCTACAAGGCTGTAACCTTGTACCCCCGAGGTTACAAGGCTGTAACCTTGTACCCCCGAGCCAATTCTGGCTCTCTGCACGTATTTTCATTTTGAAATTACGACTTTTTATACCGAAAATATGCCAATTACTGAAAGCGGTGATGGGTCACATTTTGCCAAAAACCCCCCTGCAGTTTTCAAAATATCCCAAACATCCCAAATTCGACGCCTGAGCCATATTTTGGATCAAAATTCTGGCTCTCTGCACTTATTTTTAGTTTGAAATTACGAATTCTTTTACCGAAAATATACCAATTACTGAAAGTGGCGATGGGTCACATTTTGCCCAAACCCCCCCTGCAGTTTTTAAAATATCCCAAAATCCCAAATTCGACGCCTGAGCCATATTTTGAAGTCAAATTCTGGCTCTCTGCACTTATTTTCAGTTTGAAATTACGACTTTTTATACAGAAAATATGCCAATTACTGAAAGCGACGATGGGTCACATTTTTCCCAAACCCCCCTGCAGTTTTCAAAATATCCCAAACATCCCAAATTCGACACCTGAGTCATATTTTGGAGCCAAATTCTGGCTCTCTGCACGTATTTTCAGTTTGAAATTACTACTTTTTATACCGAAAATATGCCAATTACTGAAAGCGGCGATGGTTCACATTTTGCCCAAACCCCCCTGCAGTTTTCAAAATATCCCAAACATTCTAAATTCGACGCCTGAGCCATATTTTGGAGCCATATTCTTGCTCTCTGCACGTATTTTCAGTTTGAAATTACCACTTTTTATAACGAAAATATGCCAATTACTGAAAACGGCGATGGGTCACATTTTGCCCAAACCACCTTGCAGCAGTCATGTCATAGGCAGCGTAGGGGACGGACGTTTGAGGGTCCTCCCCTGCATTTGCACTCGTTATCGGGGGTGTAATTGTACCTCAGACAGTTACGAAGCCTAATAACCAATCTGAGACACACACAAACACGCCAGGTGTGTCTGAAACTTGATTATTACCTGCACTGGTGAATTACAAGTGGCATTTGTAGCTGTGTTGCTGACCTGCGAGGGGAGGCTGTTGATCAGGCCTCAGGCGTCCCCTCCTCACTCGCCTATTGGGCCTAAACCACACGTGTATCAGGTACATGACAATAGCTCTTGCGTCATACTACCGCTGAGCCGTGTTTGCCTTGTTCTTCATTCGAGGACGCTAGTGACCACGAAACAATGCAGCCACAGTTCAGTGGAGAAACTTTGAGTCATGCCTTAACTCTCCCACTTCTACATTAGTTGATGTGAAATAGTATTGTGACGATTGAGTGTGGTTAGAAGCTTTAATTACACAACTGTGTGGATAAACAAAGGAGCCGTTGGTGTAAGGGCTCTGGTGTGGCACGCTCTGTTAGGCCTAGCATCTCGCCCGGCCAGGGAATGAGGATATTATGCCAGGAACGTGTTCATGCTTCTTGCACATCTCTCCGCCAGCTCTCAAGTACTACGGTTTGTTGCCTGTGTATGTCAAGTTTTGTCGAGTGTTAAGTATCTGTTAAGCAGATACTTATGCATGTGCCACCAACTTCAAATTTTGCGCGCCAACCTGCAAGGTGCGCTGTGACCTTGTAAATAGTGGAGCTTCATATATGCAGGCTGGCCGATTTACTTCTGCTGATGTTGTTTGATGGTTGGCGGCCCCTTCCACCCTGTGAATAGGCCATTTGCTGATGTGCTGCTTTGTGGTTCACTGTGGAGCGAGTGTACCGTAATACTCTGCATATAGGTGTTGTGTCTTTAACGTCATGGCAGCTGCCACAGATAAGATGCCGGGCAGCACATCGCCGTTGCCAGATAGTGACTTTGTGGACCCATCGTATGCTCATCAATTGCTTTCTAATGATGGTGCCACCTCCACAGTGGTGCCCCACGACACATCAGAGGGCGGTGCAGATGATGAGGTAAAATGAGTAAAAGTCAGCGCCGTAAGCAGTCGAGAAGGGCACGATCAAACCCACCAAATTCGGCTGCTGCCAGACTTGTACAGCTAGATTTTCCTCTGGGAACCACAGTAGAGGGAAAAGTGCAGTGGTTTTGTGAAGCTTCTGGTGCACATTATGATAAGGTCATTAAGTTACCTAGAGATGAAAGTGACTATGTCTTCGTTACAAACGACAGTGCTTTTGTAAATGTGTTGCTAAACACAGAGTATGCAGGCATTAAGATGAAAAATGCAGCACCTAGGCGTCCAAAAGTAACCATTGTCATGTTCAATGTTAATAAACTCATTAAGCCTGAATATCTCTGTGATGAAAATATTGTAAACTCTCTGGGAACCACAGTAGAGGGAAAAGTGCAGTGGTTTTGTGAAGCTTCTGGTGCACATTATGATAAGGTCATTAAGTTACCTAGAGATGAAAGTGACTATGTCTTCGTTACAAACGACAGTGCTTTTGTAAATGTGTTGCTAAACACAGAGTATGCAGGCATTAAGATGAAAAATGCAGCACCTAGGCGTCCAAAAGTAACCATTGTCATGTTCAATGTTAATAAACTCATTAAGCCTGAATATCTCTGTGATGAAAATATTGTAAACTCTAAACGTCTGAGAAATGGCCTTATAGCTGCCACATTGCCACGCCTATACCGGACAGAATTTAGAGCAGCTTTAGGTCGGCACTATAACATTGCACTCTACAACCCTCCCCCTCGTAGGTGTTATAAGTGTCAACGATGGGGACGTCACGTGGCCAGGTACTGCTCAAGCAAAAACTTTTTCTGTGCCGTGTGTGGTGAACCTCATAAATCTGAGGTGTGTTTTAAACTCATAAAGGAACTGCAGTCAGTAAGTGAAAAATGCATAAACTGTGGCAGGAGCGGTGTTCAAGTCTGGCACCTTGA